TAACAGTTAATTAATTTGTTTAAAATTAAAGAGATTTGGAAAAACTGTAAAAGTTGGAGGTGGATCCAAACAAGCCCTTCCAATATGGTAGGTAATGAAAGGTTGTATCCTAGTGGAAGATCTACATTTGAAAGTCTTTGGGTGGGATGCCTAAAACTCTGATGAGCCTTTTTGGATATGTGGGTTGTGAAATTTCCACTTGGCATTCACACCCCAAAAGTAGTAAGAATTTCATCAACATTTCAAAGCAAAGCCTAACATTTCTACAAGTGGGTGGTCGATATTAAGTTGCGCATACGAATCGTGTTTGTCATGTTTGTCACATATATATCGTAACGAGTCGTATCGTGTTAAATTTGTTATCTTAACGAATTTTTAATTAGTGACTCGTTAACGACCTGATTCATTAACGAGTCATGTTGGATTAATAGGTCATGCAAGAAACTGTCATGTCTAATGTCTACATTTGGCAAATATATCTTATCAGGTGATCCGATAACCACTCGACTCATTAACGAGTTCTTAATGTGTGACATGATAACGACCCGACTCATTATTAGGTTGACCCTAATACCTGTTATTTTGTTTCGTTTATTGTCGGGCCGACAGATCTTGCAATAAATTGTCAAGACTGAGTATACCTTTTAGGTTGTAAGTATAAATGTTTCCAAGTCAATCAAGTATAGAACAATGTCACAGGTAGTCATACATACATACATATGTTAAAAATTGGACTGTTGATGTATCACTATCCTCGTTTTCACAAGAATCTGTTGCGATTAAGATCAGTTTGCAAGCAAGCGTCTAAAGTTATCATTGATCGACGTTTAAGTTAAAGATTCCAACAATGTACCTTTAAACTTTTACCTTTGGAATAAAAAACTGCAAAGTTATCTATTAGAATTTAGAAACATAGTTTTTTCCATAACAAAGGTTGTGTCGTGCAAAGCAAGCATAAAAGTGGGTATAATCAAAAGTGTAAAGAAGGAATCGATATCCTATTCGAATCTTTGTGTCTAAAGCTCAATGATCCAAAGACTTGAACAACTGAAGAAAGAGAATGAGATCCGAACCCTTGATCTGTGCGAGATAAAGCAATGAAATGAGCTAACGAGCTCTCTAAAATTGAAATTAATGGTCCGAGTCTCTTGATCTCCAAATCTCAATTGAAAGACGAGTAAAAGTTTACAACATCCACTTGTTCAAATAGTGGTAAACAAGTTAATTACCATTTGAGGATGCAATTTACCAAATCACGCAGAATTTTACCAATAAGGGCAGTAAGCTAAATTATAGAAACATTTGTTTAGTATTAATCTTTTTAATTAATAGTTAAAAGCATCTCTATCATCAAAATATCCAACAGGTTTGCCGTCAAACAGAGAATATGCTCAGGATTTTGACCTGGAAAAGGCAACAAATTTCGATATTTCCAAATATTTGTGTATAACTTTCTACGAAGCTACGTATTATAAAACCCCACATTCACAATTCCAATCCCAATCAAATGTGCTGTCAATTTCATCGATACGGAATTGGATCTGCTCTAGATTTTAGTGTACGAAGTCTAAGAATCAACACATATAAACTATTGATCAATGTGTAAAAGAAATTAGAGTTATTGATTTGTGTGTGGTAGACCAACAAAATGAGTTAATGAAGACCATCTCTAGAATCCAGACACTAAGATCCAGAGCAGATCCAATTCCCATCAAGACACATGCTTCTTTTTTTTTTTCTCTTTTTTGCCCTAAAATATAAATATTAACCCAAATGCCAAATTCAATGTTACTAAGGGCTCGTTTGGAACTTTATTTAAAATCGTTGAAAGCCCTTTTCAAGAAAATATTTTTAAAATCAATTTTCAATAAACATTTTAAATGCTTTAAATGAATCTAGAGAAAACACTTTAAATTCATTTATTTGCAAATGAATATAGAGAAAACACTTTAAATGCTTTTGGAACCCATAAACATTTTTTTCTAAAAGTACTTTCAATCATTTTAAAAGCACTTTCAAATGAGTTCTAAGTTGATGAATACATTTTTGCCATAAACAAAAAACTATAAAGTTGATTTCTCCTTTCATCGACCGTTCACGTCTATTATTTGTAACTTAATATGCTAATTTGTATTTGTTTATTTTTTTTTTGGACAACATGGTATTAATTTGATGTTATTTAAAAATGAGATAAAAAAGAATAAATTGTCACATGCGTGAGCGCGTGTGGCAAGAGACTATTATTTAGTTAAAACTTGAAACATGTTAAAATTATCATTTTACTACCCACTCTAGAAATCCTTGTAGATGTAGTTGTCTCAGGTTAGTTCAATACGATAGATTATCATTGCAAGTTGTGGCTAATTCGCTGCAGTGGCATAATTATATTGCAAGTGTACATAACTCTAATGCATGCTATGATAACGTTATTTATTTATTAAAATAGATTTTGATTAACCCTCTACCATTCCGTGATTACGATCTCAATAAATTTCAACTTAAAATGTAAAATTAGCAAGTACAATGCTGCTTTAACTAACCTAATTTACAATTGCACAAAAATATCTTCTCTTAACATATACAATCTACCTCATCATCACTTTCAAGAGTCAATAGATTCGCACGACGTAAGCATGAGATATTTGTGTACCACTGAAAACTACAACTTTAGAATATCTGCCTTGATTTAACTTGTTAAAATCGCAAAATTATGTTTTATTACTTAGCAAAAATAAAAGTAAAGGAACACTACTTGGCTGCTGAAAATTCAATCGCAACTCTTGCTTCTACCCAATCACAAATGAACACATATCCAAATAATTAAAATTGTAAACATAGATTAAATACATGTCTATCTGTAACAGGTAGAAGCAAGAGCCGTAAGGTAGAAGCAAGAGCTGTTGCTGAATTTATAGTGACCAAGTAGTGTTTAAGATAAAGCATGGATTCGTTATACTACATCACCCAATCAAGCCAACGCACACATAACACAATATTACAAATTTAAAAAAAAAAAAATACCAACTATTTTCATTTTTTCGCTCCACTCGTATTGGAAACATGACGTTATTATTCCACTTAAATTATATAATATGTTTTAAAAGTGTGACCTCAATCATATCGTCAACCTTTTACAATAAAATAATATACCACATAATTTATGTTTCGCTATCAAATAAAATTTCTCTAATTGTGAACTTATGGCAATATATAAACAAAGAACCAAAGAGGAGTGGGATTCCCATCGCAAGTGAACTTATCTATCAAAAATATTGGTTCAAAACTTCACAAATTTGTGTGTACCAAGTGGTAGAAAACGAAGAGATCTTTTAGTGTGTTTAGAAAACCAGACAATACACCATATATCATTAAATAATTGGAGAGAATTAGGAAACAAATTCCTCCACTTTTATATTGACATACAAGGTGTTGTCTCGTATTCTAAGCACACTAACAATTGTCACCAGAAAATGCCTATTTACAAGACTTACAACATGTAGTGACGTAGCATATTTACGTGAAGAAAATTATGAGAATATTTCTATTTTTCTGTGATCCTTGTAACATACATGAATCCCCATGAAGCTTTTCTTTTGTTTATTTCATTTTCTTTTTCAATGGTGAGCATGAAGTTATCTTCATTCCTCATCACAAATTTTGGATGGTTCAAGTTTAAATTAATACCTATCATTGAATTTTCAAGTAGAATGGATGAACAGTCATTATCTATGATGAATTGACGTATTTTTTTGTCGAGTTATTATTGTGTTTGACAATTATCTACGACCGAACATATTTATTCCAAATTTTTTAAATTTATAAGGAATGCACCTCATTCGTCAACTTGTACGATATTAATATTACTATTAAGCATAAGTTTTATTACAAATCATCGATGTATTTCTGAGTTTTGAAAGATAATTTCGTATAAATCACATACCTAATGATTCCGAGTTTGAATCTCCTCTCCTCACGTTCATTTACGAAAAATATAAAACAATGATTTTAATTTACCAGAAAAAAATACTATGAATAAAAAAGTATTTTGGCTTTTCGAATTTTAGTTTTTGGGTTTAAAAAGTTTATTTTTTATTTTTGAGAAAAAAATAGGGAACAGAAAGGACAAATTAACGGATGTTCTCCGCCGAAAAACAACGTAGGATGGCAAGACATTGTCAAATCACCATTCTACCCTCCCCTCCGTGTGGAAACCCATAAAAACCAACCAGCAACAGGTATTGAAGTCAATGAGAAGTCAAGGCCAAATATGGAAACACAGCGTATTAACATTAACAAAACGATGGCTCCTTGTAATATTTTCAGTAATCAATCATCCGCGGTTCAACAACAAAGGATAATATTATGGAGCATACCTTTATCAAGATAAATGTTAAAGAGACTCTCGCAAAAGTGAAATTTTATATGAATTATCTGTTATCTTACGGTTTAACATTAATTTTAAAATAATTACAACAATTGATTTTTTAAGACGTAAACATAATCATATTGATTAAAGCGAATATACTCTCTAATATAACAAAGTTTGAATTACTCTCCGTAATCTAAAATAGATAATTTTTTATTTATTAAAAACTACTTAAAATTTTTATGAGAAATAAATTTAAACAAAATAGATTGAATTTATAAGTGTGTTTTGCTTTTTGTAGTCAAGTTTAAGAGCTAATTTGTAAGTGCTTTCAAATGATTGAAAGACTGAGAGCGCTGTTGATGAAATTGATTATGGGTTCTAAAATCATTGTAAGAATTAATTTTCAAAATATTTTTACTAAAAACGCTTTCAATCATTTTAAAAGCTAATTCTAATCGAATTCTAGATGTGCATAATATCTAAGTATCACATTGAAATGACCGCAGGATGGCATACCCTGTGGGCCGCAACAACCTACCCCAACCCATTATTTGTGGAAATTACATTTTTTTTTAATTTTTTTGGTTAAATTAAGGAGGTGAGATTTTATATATTTTTATTTAGTTCTCTATCTCTGTCACTGCCAGTTTTTTGGAATAGGAGGGAGGGTGTATCTGGCGATAGAGCAAAATAACCACCAAACGGCTATAATTGGCGTTGCAGATTTTCAGAGGACGAGAGAGAGAGAGAGAGAGAGAGAGAGAGAGAGAGAGAGAGGAGGGAGAGAGGGGTTCTATAAAATATCGTCGCCTTCTCTTTCCCTGCTGCCGAATTTTCCCCAAAAAAATTTGGCCGTCTGGGTTCGATTTGGGTCGCGAGGATCTGATGTTGCAGAGTTTGTGAGAGAGACGGCGAAGCTACTGGAGCGTAGGGCTTATTGGTCATTTCCTTTTTGCCTTCAATTTTCACCATGGCTGATGGGTATTACAGTTCGAAGAAGACTGACGATGTCTGCGACGACGTTTGTGGCCAGGTATTTTTTTTTCATTTTTTTTTTTATCTCGAATTGAATTTTGGGTATCTATAAATTCGCCATTTTCTCTCTTTGAAGTTAAAGTTTGGATTTTTGATTGTATTTGGTAGTGGCTGTGGTAGGTTTTCAATTTCATGTTACTGGGATTGTATTTTGTATCTTTTAATTTTCAATTAGTAATAAAACTATTAATATTTTGATTAATGTATTCATTTAGTTTTATAATTGTTTTGTGGTGTTGAAATTAAAGCTGTGGAATTTGTATTGGGGGCCTTTAATTTCCAGTTGCGGTTATGGTGATTGTTTAATTGCGTAATGGGATTACTTAAGATGTTTTAGATATTCACTTAATGTTTATGGTTGTTTTTAGAATTGCTTTACTGCATCCACAGTGTTACTAGATTTTTTTTGTATATGGAATCCGGTTATCTTAGAAAGTTTTTGGTTTCGTTCACAGCAGGGATCGCAAGCAGCGTTGAGCATGTCTAGACTGCGATGCATTTTGCGGGGCTTGGATTTGAAGATTTACATTTTCCTGTTTGCGGTTGTTCCATTAGGCGTATTTGGGATATATTTACATGGGCAGAAGATCTCGTATTTCCTAAGACCTCTTTGGGAAAAACCTCCGAAGCCCTTCATTGATATTCCACACTACTATAATCAGAATGTGTCCATGGAAACTCTTTGCAGGCTTCACGGATGGAAGGTTCGGGAATCACCTAGACGAGTCTATGATGCAGTTCTTTTCAGCAATGAAGTAGACATGCTTACAATCCGATGGAATGAATTGTATCCTTTCGTGACACAGTTTGTTCTCCTCGAATCAAACTCAACGTTTACTGGCTTGCCAAAGCCATTGATTTTTGGAAAAAACAGGGAGAAGTTTAAGTTTGTTGAAAACCGGCTTACTTATGTTACGACAGGAGGAAGATTTCAGAAAGGTGTAAACCCATTTTATGAGGAGGCGTATCAAAGAGTGGCACTTGACCAGATTCTTAGAGTTGCTGGTATAGAAGATGATGACCTGCTGATCATGTCCGATGTTGATGAGATTCCTAGTGCCCACACAATTGATCTCTTGAGGTGGTGTGATGACACCCCGCCTGTTGTTCATCTTGGGCTGAGGGATTACTTGTACTCTTTTGAATATTATGTGGATGACAAGAGCTGGAGAGCATCCGTTCACAGGTACCAGACCGGTAATACTACCTATGCACACTTCAGACAGAGCGACTACCTTTTGCCAGATGCGGGTTGGCATTGCAGCTTTTGTTTCCGCCATATCAGCGAGTTCATATTCAAGATGAAAGCTTACAGCCACAATGATCGGGTGAGGTTCTCTCATTATCTGAACCCTCGAAGGATCCAAGATGTAATATGTAAAGGGGCTGATCTATTTGACATGCTTCCCGAGGAGTACACATTTAAGGAGATTATTGGAAAGATGGGACCTATTCCAAGATCTCATTCAGCGGTTCATCTCCCTGCATATTTGTTGAACAATGCTGAGAAGTATAAATACCTATTGCCCGGAAACTGCAAGAGGGAAAATGGCTAAGTCTTGAAGACGAAGGTGCCTGTTCAATCAGTTGGACAGGCAAATTGATGATTAAACTCTTGTGAATATGACCAGATAGTAGTCTATTGGAAAATTGATGGCTGTGGTGTGGCAGCGATACAAATACACCTTTTTTCCGAAAGATTCTAGGTCATTCTCGTAGAGCAACTGGGAAGAACAGGGATGGCGTCCTGCAAATTATCGGGAGATTATGTACATTTCCTTTTTCTTAGGCTTCTTCCCTCGTAGATGGCATATCAATTCAATTTGCAATTGAGGATTTTTCCATGAGCGGAAGCTTTCGAATGTACCCACCACTTGTTGATGTAGCTTAGTCCCAAATGCATGAGAGTACAACTGACATTTCCCAGGATTTTCTTTGATGGGAACTGTTATTTCTTAGAGTAAATTATATTTCGTCATCTGATTTCCCTTCGATTTTCGATTGTCTACATGCGATTACTGCGCAGGTTTACCTTTCTAGTTTACCGTCGTTTTGTCTTTTCGTTTCTTTTCGAATCTGTTTCATTTAGGTGCACTGATGTGAACTTTTTCGGGTGCTCTTAAAATCTGGAAAGTATGGTTTACTTGCTTGATGACTTGTAAATTTGACGTGGAGGTTGGTTTGTTCAGGGCATCCCGCAACTTAAGCAAAACACTCTGTTTTGTTATGTGCGTTGACTCATATTTTGCTTGTCTGTTGTCATGTGCTGCTGCTGACTGCTGAATGAGTCAATTTTTTGTTATTCCATGGTGTTGCGTTAAGAGATTTCGATGAGGCCGGCATGAATTATGGCAGTTGGTCATGACAATATATTCGCCCCTTGCAACCGGGGTCAAAATTTCCATCGTAGGTTAGAGTTGGTTTAGAATGTTCAGAAGTGGATCCTTTGTATAGAGCAAACAACTTTCATGGGCTAACACAACAACTCAGCTAAAACCGTAGTTCATGGGAACAGATGCTGATGAAATTACAAGTCGAAATTTTAAGGAAATTTTAACGAAAAGCTTCCGGTACGGTTAATTTTAACGAAAAATCATATTTTTACGTTACAAAGTCAATTCTGGTACTATTCACTTTACTATTTATTTTGTCCTTAAAATTCAAAGTTTTCAAACTATTTTTATTAGTTTTTCTAAATTTTAATCCCCAAATGACCTAAGATTCTTACATGTTATCGGCAATATACAAAGAGATGAAAAGGAGACAATGAGGTCAACATGTCTTCGATTACTTTTGAAATTATTCCGATGAGGTTGATATTTTTGTCAATATCGGAAAAAAAGAAAAGAAAAGAAAAGTGATGTGAAGTCTAAACTTCACCCAATATCTAAGAAACTCTTAAATTTTAGTTAAAATTGATAGTTTTCGTCAATATTTTCGACACATCGCTTTTAATATAGATAAACTACCATATAATATTATTTAAAGTTTCATTTTAAATTTCTACGTTTTTAAACAAATTTTATCATTTCATCGCAAACAACCAATATCGATACATTCATCGATATTTCAACAAATTTGCATGTCAATATTTTTACCGACAGCGACACCAACGCTTTGGTTATATTGGTTGCGAAAAGAGAGGCCAACGAGTCACTTCCTTGGTCAAGCAATTTATATCCAACACTAATGAGCGGTTGGACTCCCAAAACATGTCTGGTGGCTGAGAAGAAATCGACTCATTCACTTGACTTGTCTTATTTATATTAAAAAAAAATCAAAGGTTTTATCCACATACTATATAGTATTATCCACACAAATTACCTCCCCAGGCAAGCATGGGCAACAAAATACTCTAACCTACGGTCTCTGTTAGGTAACTGGTGCACATGGTAGTTGAACACATTGCAGTGATAGCATCATTTGGGGAATTTCCTAGAAAGTTATGATATTTTGGTCCACTGTGTATACATTTATAATTCATTTTACAGTACGAAATTTGTAACTCAAGTGATTAAAATATTTATCTTTGCAAGCGAAATATTATGTTCGATTCCCTACGAAGATGGATCCATACTTTGGGCTGCATGGGCTACATAGCTCATCTCAAACTTCATTTTTCTCCTAAAATTAGCATATAGTATGAAGGCTTTGCTTAGTCCAGAATTTAACATATCTCACCCCTTTGTCTATCCAATTTACACATATCGTCGAGTTTTCTAGTAAGTTTCTATGCAAATAAATTTAGTCATTTTTTTTTTTAAATTCTAAGCCCTTCTCTTTTTTCCTCTATAGTATCGCTTGTAGCAAAAATTAATCTTAATTTGCCAATATCAGAATGGCAAAGACTTTTCATTTTTGGAAAATACAGGTTGTATTTGTTGAACCAAAAAAATAAAAAAAATAAATTCAAAAACTAAACGCAACCCTTCAAACATGGACAGAGATGGACAGTTGAGAAGTATAAACTAGTTCCAAATACTTATGTACAAATGTTCTTTTGACTTTCAATCAATCTTCCAAATTACTTTCTTACCAATAGTTGCACCACATTGGTGGGGTGGATCATGAGTTTACTTGGTGTGCAAGCAAACTTCACATTGACTCGACTTGATCACTTGGGCAAGTCAACAATTTTATTTTTATGAAACACATCAATTTTTTGAGATATTTTTTAGAGCGGCCTCATACAGTAAATGTTATAATACAAGTATTGGGTATGACTTATTAATACGTTCCATAAAACCTACTTGAATACATTCGATTTTTTTACCTTTACCGAGAAAAACCTACGCTAAAAAACTATTTATTTTGAGCATGAGTTTTCTGGTCCAAGTTTATCTTGTTTTTACCATGAATAATTTTCCTTGATTAACATTAGTTGTAGTTTTGCCAATATTACTGGGTTCCTTAATTTTCTTTCTCCCTCATAGAGGGAATAAGATAATTGGATGGTATACTGTAGGTATATGCATAATAGAACTCCTTCTAACAATCTATGCATTCAGATAGGAAAAAAAAAAAAATCTAACAATTTGAATTATAACACTTTATATATTGGGCCGTGTTTTTTGGCATATTGAAAAATTTCTCCAGTTTCTTTTGAGAATTCTTCTTTCGTTTTTATGTGTTGGAGATGTAGACCTTTGGTTGTGAGATGACAGATATAGATTAAACGAAATTATCTAATTTAAGATCGTTGCAACTGGACATGATAGAATTTCCGGTTGAAATGAAATAAAATGTTGTCATGGAAGTTTCAATAAATTTGGTGTTATGGAACTTCGTGTGCATGGATCACTAAACCTTGATAACAAAGTTGATGGAAATTATATGCAAATAAGTTTTCAATTAGAGATAGAATCTCCGGTTGCATGACAGAATCTCTCGTGTCATGGACTTGAACATCCACCACCGGGCCTAATGAGAAACATTTATAATATATATTTTTTGAATTAAAATTTTTATTAAATAACTAGAAAAATAAAATAAAATGTAGACATAATATATTGGTTGGGTCCTACAGCCACTTTCCAATGGGCTTCTTACAATAACAGGCTGGGCCATTATATATTTTGGGCTTCCAATGCAAAAGCCCTAATCACTGTCCCAATCCTCATCCAAGTCTTTTCTTGTTCTTGTGCTTTTATTGCCATTTCCTTTCTTCTCTTCCCTCCTCACTTGATAATCCTCTTCGTCGCTGCTGTTGTAATCGATTCTCCCTGTCGTTGATGCTCCAGAGTCGCTGGCAGCGTTTAATTCCCATATTTCGTTTTCAGAATCACCGGAGATATCCTTGGACTTGACATCCTCCTCAACCGGCTTTCTTCTTGTGCTAACATCAGCATTTCTTTTGAAATACTCACTGTTGCCCCTGCCAATCCTCCTATCAGTTTTCCCCTCTGCAACTCTTGATGCCTCAAACTTGCCACGAGCTTTGTTGGAATAACCAAGTTGCTTTCGGAATCATTTACCCACTCCTTTCCTCCCTTTGTGTATGTTAAGTCCTCTTCTTCATCACTGCTACTTCGGAAATCATAGTTCGCAGCTCTTGATGCTGTTGAGTCGTGCTTTTCCTCAGAATTGAATTTCCACATTGCAGTATCAAGATCGCTCAGCACATTTTCTGATTCAGTGCCATCGTCCACCATAATCTTTCTATTATTAGCTTTTCTATTGTTAGCTTCAGAATTTCTATAAAAGTGTTCATCATTCTTCGCCCTGCCAATCTTATCCTGCCTCCCCGTCTCTTGGAGATATCTTGAACCTCTCAGGCGTTCCATCAGAATCATCAGCATCACTGTCGAGAACACTAGAGCCCACAACATTATTAGAACGCCATTCCTCATTGTCATCTTCGTAATCACCATTAGGCCTCTGCTTGCCATGTGTTTGCCTCCAATCCCTTACCCTTGGGATCTCATCATCAGAATCGTCATTTTCAGGTTCTTCAGATCTTCTATATCTCCCACCATACTCTTCTCTGTTCCAATACCTCATTCTGGTGAACTCCTCCTTCTCAGCTGCTTCCTCAGCCGCCCACTCTCGTTCCGCTGCATCCTCAATTTCAGCTATGAATTTGTCCAACTCCTCCTCCTCTTCCTCATCAGGAGGCTCTGGATGTTTAAATTTATTATCAGGCTCTGCTACACACGATTTGTCCCCATGGAAGACATAAGGACTTCCGTCCTTCTGATCAATTGCATTAAAGAATGAGGAAGCTACTCTCTGGATGCTTGCAATGGCAACTGGATCCTCAGGATTAATACCACTTCGGCGGAGCTGCTGTTCTATCTTCTTTATGTTTATCTTCTGAGATTCGAGGGCTTGTTCAAATCTTGCCTTGAATAATGCCTGCATGTAAAGATGCAGCAATTAACAATCCGTTGCAAATGTTCTCGATTAATGCAAGCCAAAACAATCGACCATTAGAATGGGACACCCTTGTTTTACTCACCTTTCTTTTTGTAAGGGTATTGAAAGGTATTAAATTTTTGGGCTGCCGGTAATTTCTTCCACGAAACATGATGATTGTTTTAGTATTGTGTATGTTTACCACTATACCACCACTCAGTCTTGCAATCATAGAGGCCATTTCCTTGATCTTTTCTTTGGGGAAGTTATCACAACAAACTTGTACAGTCTCGTGAAACTTCCAGTGTAGATGCATATTCTGGACAACTCCTCCGAAGACCCCACGAACACCGACAGGAACATAATTTTTATTTTTGAAGCCAATCTTCTTCAATGCCTGAAGCTGCTCGAGGGTTACTAGCTCAGGATCATGACGGGGTGCGGGCAGATCTGGAAGCTCGTACTTTTTCAGCTTTTGTAGCAGTAATGCTACTTTCCTCTTGGCCTGAATAAGTCATATAGTCCAAATGGTTATCTGATGAATTCAATACATCAAAAAGAAGACATTGTAGGCCAGGAATACAGGAGGGAAAACTTCAAAACTACTTAAAAGAAACAAAATTGTGGAAGTAATCCTAAAGTTTTCAAAATAGTTATCGGCTATTAAAGCTTGAAATATTTGGCAAAACGTCATTGTTTTCATTTAGCTTACGAAGAGCTTCTTTTATATCTATGGAAAAAAAAAAAGAAACCACCCAAGAACTAGTCAGTCACACGCGTACTTGCATTTTTCTGTTAGTAATACTTTAGATTAGACCAATTGGCGTGACCATGCAAAGCTGCGCAGATAAAATTCGGAAACCAGGTATCATTAAGAAGCTAGTAGCTGCAAAGCAGAATTTGAAACATACTCTTTTGAGGTTGTAAATGAGCCTCTCATTTTCGGTCATCAGCTTCTTTTGAAGCTTTTTCGCTCTGCGAACCTCTCTCAGAGTCTTACCAGACTCCTTTTGCATCCGCTTAGCGACTTTGCTCCTCATGCTACTACTCCCTCTAGATGTCGACATTGACCTAGACCACCCATCGAAGGGATTGGCTGGTCTCGATGAAGAAGAGAAACAATCGTCACTCGGCTTACTTGGCTGAACTACATTGCTTGATAAAACCTTCGCCGAGACATCTCTTAACAAGGCATTTCTGCAACAAATTTAAAAGATAAACCAAACTAAACTCACTTATTCGGATCGAATGCTGAGAATTCTCGGAGAAATAAACCATCTCTATGAATGATTGATGGTAAGCACTAAAACAAAGCATTCAAATTTTCGATATTATAACAATTACGATATCGCCCAACTAAAAAAGACTTGTTCTTTCCACATGAAAATCACATTGAGTAAATGGGTCAAACCAGATAAATGATACGGAGGTAGAAATTCTGTTTGGTTGCTGAGAAAATGTCACTAATGAAAAGGCAAAAAGCAAATATTGGCAGCATAGACGTTGACTAGACTGCACGCAACTATTCATTCACTTTCTCAGCAACCAAACAGAGGGTAATTAGGACAGAGAGAGTACTTGGAGGGATTGAATTGGAGGAGAGAAGAGGCGGACGTGAAGCTGTGGCTGTTGAGCTTCCTCGCAGCGAACATTGATGGCTGGCTCTGGCTTCAATCGAACGGCGACGGGCCTCAATCGCGAATCGAGTGCTTTGCTCTGTTCATTCCCTTCCTCCCTCCCCACTTCAATGGCACTGAGATTTTTCAGGGTTTTAGGTTTTGGGTTTGATTTTGGCATTTGGGCCTGTTTAACTAAGAGGAGTAGTCAAATGAGGATTGTAGAGTATTTTAAAAAATTTAGAATCAATTAAAATTTTAAATGATTTTAAAATAATCCATTCAAATATATGGTAGTCGATTAAAGGATTTTAAAGACTTTAGAATCCTGGTATAGCCAATTAGAATTTTTACAGAGTTCATACAAATTTATAGGTATTCAAAAATTCATAGATTTTGAAGAATTTCTTTCAGTAGGAGATTTTGTAGGATTTGAGAATGAATTATAAGCATAACAAAATCCTACATTCACCCCAAAGATTTCTTTTCAACCCCCTTGCTCTTTCTCTTTCTTCATTATGCAACTTGATCTTTCTTTCTCACTCTTTATTTTCTTCCAGACATAGAAACTACCAACCTGATTTCCCTTCACGTTCATCCGTCACCATCCCAATTGCAAACTTGAATTTTTAAAAATTTTATTTCCTTTATTTTGGACTATGTAAAAGTAATTATTGTAATGCTTTGATGGGAATTGTTAATGGTTACTAGCAGTTCTTGTAATGATTATGTGTTCTACCTGAAAGTGCTGATTTTTTACCATATTAATTGAACTCTTGAAAATTACTACTAAGAATCTTATTGCCAATTCAAGTTTTCTGTTCTTTTTTGTGTAATCATGTTAGCGCAAGGGTGCTAGCATCTTCCAAAGCCTATTTATATTGGTGGCTGTACTTAACTGAACAACACATTATGAACTAATCGATTGTTGAGGAAAAAGGGTTAATTTTGAGACATTGATTTAAGAAGCATTGCTTGTTTTGGTTAGTTAAAATTATTTTTCATAAAGAAATCACAATTGAAATGAGAAAGGAAAAGCAAAGACATGTTTGATTGGTTTATATTTCCATATCAATATTAATATGTTTATTGTTGTGAACTTTCCTAGTTTAAGTGTAATTGTGTAAACTGCTAGATTAGATTTGATTCTAGTTATCCTTTCCTATATGAACTTGTATTAACATATATCCTAAACACAATTGTCAGATAATATAGGCTACAACATTTATGTCTTTTTCATTTTGTGCACTGAGAAAAGAATTTATGTTGTAGGAGTCAAAAAAGAAATCCTACGAAATCCATGAAAAAAATCTTTACAAATTCATAGAAATCCATAATAATCTGTTAAAATCCATATGGAATTGTAGACTCTATTAAAATCTTTTGAAATCTGTCACTTAAAAAAGTCCATTAAAATTTACTGAAATCCAAATCAATTACACCCCTAAATTAGGTCTCTTTGCCGGGCTTATTTTCTGTAAATAAGAAATAATATTGATTTTTAATTGGAGGTGTAATTTGTGATTAAACTAACTTCACCACGTGTTTTAACATTTTTCATGGCAGCAATTGATAATTTTAGCTTTTTGGCGCGTTATCACCTTGGTGTCTCGGTCATCATTCTCGCAATTTAAAATTTGGCATCCGATTCCTTGTTCTTGTATCGACTTGGCCGATATTAAGTATAGTATCTAATTAATAAAACATTTTTACGAAGAGAAATAAAAAAAGCAACCGGTATATGACCATTTAAATCAGCGTTACGGTCTAATGATATTTCTCTTCATTTGTAAATGAAAGGTCTTAAGTTTCAATTATTGCCAAAAACAAATTTGAACTACATTATTGCTAGCTTCTTGTAGGGATAAACTCACCCCTTTCCCTCTTAGTATATTAGTACAATCTTCACTTTGTTGACACATGTAATTCGTTTAAATCTCAAAGATAACAATTGCTGATAAAAATAAATAAATAATAAAACAAACCATTGATTATACAGCAAGCATTTGTCAAGAAGCAATAAGTTCCAAATTACACAACGCAACAACAAATGTAGAATGGCACACAACTGCTATTGCCAACAATGTATGAGCATCCCACGAGATGCTTTGATCTGCCATACACTGGTTGCAAAAACAGTCTCACTTGTTCACAAGCACACAATGCCAATACTAAAAATACAACGATCACCCGAATTTGGCACATAGGAGAAGCCAAGGCCAAGGGCGGAACATAAAATCATCCTTGCTAATTTTTGGTTGAACATTCTGAGTTCTGAATACTAATCTAAGTAGTCGACAGCTGAGTGCAAAGGGTAAGGGGAAACTCCATGCGTATCTTAAAGCGCTGAAGTTGCCTCGTTGCCCTTGAAGAGCATGCAGAAAAAGAGGCCATTCGAATGGATTCTACGATTGCACAATGTCATTCCCGGAAGCTTTTTCATCGTCAGTTATGTCTAGCCAATTAAGTAAACTGTCTTGGGAAGAAAACTGCAAATCCTGCATTATGAAAGTGAATTTTAGTACAATATTTCTTGAAAAATCTAACAAAGCAGAAGAAGAAGGGGTAAGCAGGAAGCTTACAGGTAGCTGGAAATCTGGAGGAGAATCAAGTCCAATATTCTCAAGGTCACGAAGTCCACACGGCGTGCTGCTGTTTCCATTCACCTCGTATGTATTGCTATTGAAGTCAGTGTTAGATATGAGATTCGATGCTGAACCAAAGATCTCCTTGCATAACAAGGTTTCATCCAAGCTATGCAAATCGTCAGCCTGAGATTCGCCTGCCAGCCAGGTAGGCTCCCCAATATTGTCTTCAAACCGAGGATCAGGTTGAGGGACATGATATGCTTCCTGGGCAAGCTCCGGTTCCTATTCCACAAAATATAGTTCAGTAAGAATCCAACACACTATAGGATTTTCGGAATCAAAGCAAAAATTCTAGAGTTTCGTCCATGGGATGCTGAGTATGTATGTCAAGTTCGAAGACAGAACAATTTCAAAATTCCATTTTCTCTTTTCTATTTACAGCAGTGTAGCTTTTTAACTAATGAGGTATACAAATCACAGACCGCCTACCTTGACAGATGAGCGGAGCATAGCTTCATCAGGAACATCCTCAAACCAAACAGATTTCCCTGGTCTGGGTGGAATTGGAGGATTGGATACGGGGGTCCTGGGGCTAGTTCGAAGTGCATTGACATCAGAATCTTCAGCGACCACATTGTTGTCGTTCCTTTCTGACTGCTTATGCTGCTGGTAGAATATCTTTGACACCACATAGTCGCCTTCTCTCTCATCCTCTTCAGCTCCCAGGTGATACTGATGCATCACCCAGTTAACCTTTTCTGGCTTGGTACCTTTCTTCGAACTTTTGTAAAGGACCATGATCTTCTTCCAGCCCTTAACTCCATTTTCTAATATAGCCTTGGTCTTACCCGTTTTGTGCCAGCGGACATCCTCTGAAGCCACGCTACGCTGACTATCAACCTTGCGGCGCTTCCTCTGACCAGTAGCATATGCATTCATTGTTTTATGGAAGAAGTGGATGCTGCTTCCATCTTTCGTTGCACCTGAAACAAAACAAAGTACAATGACCTAACCACAATTAAATAATCTAAACCCACAGATCGAGATTTGAAGGTAATGAGAGGAAGCACATTGTACAGACACGAGAACAAAGAGAGCAGCTAAGCTAATCTCATTAAGTTGCGTCCTTCGACACCAAAAAAGGGGAAAAAAAGTTCCAAGTATAAGTTCAATTTGGTTCAGTCGATATCATTTACAAGCACGAGTAGATGATGCACGATGAACACGTGGAATCAGAAATATGAAGTATGGGAGCTACTTACCAGGAAGGTTTTTGGGATGATCATAGCAAATTCCATTATCCCCCTCAAGTGTAGGGATGAGCTCATCGATAAGCAAGTGTGGCTGTGAGTTTCCGACACCACACTTAGCCGCTAAGTGTACTAAGAGTTCACCATCAGATGGATCAAACTTCACTCCAATCGGTAAGCCAGGCCATTCCGATAAAACCTACACAAGTGGATTTGCAGAAGAACTTAAAAGAATAAAAAGCTTACATGGTTGCAGAAATTTGAGTTTTTTAGTTTTGGAGAACATACAAATAATTGCATATGAACACAACTAAAAATCCGGCTTACATCGCTGTTATCTATAACAAAATGGCAATTCGGGCATTCACGATTTGCCCCGCACTCTTTGATTGGACAAGCGGTCGACCGAGCAGCATTCTTCACTTTGCTTGCAAGTCCTCTACTGTTGATCAGCCAAGCCCTACAAGAACATTACACTATAAGCCACAAAATTTTATCACAAAACCAATTTTTAGCTAGAACCCTTAAAGAAGCTCTGACCAACAGAGAAAACACCTGAAACCAAAGCTGTGACCACTCATGCAACGCAAAATTAAGCTAGAGGACGAGAGAAACAAATATGAGAGTTCATGGACGAAAACTAAACATGAGATAAAGTTGAAAGACCTTTGCTACCACGCACCCTTATTTCTCAATCGTAAAAGCTTTCATTCATCCATTCTACATTCCCCGTACAATCGAAAAGGCGAAAACAGACATGAGTTTCTCAGAAAAACCCCAAATTCACAAGAAAATTAACAAAGCCACTGAATCAATCAAACATCTGTACGTCATGTTTTATTCAACATTAAGGAAGTTTCCTTTTTTAACCAAACATATACTAAAATAGAAGCCCTGACAACATCTGAACATTTATTCCAAATCAGGAAACTCCCATATAAATTAAAAATCTTTACACATCAAAGAGCTAGATTGAATCTTGCAGTTTAAAGGGCTTCCCACAAAATCCCCAAAAAATCAAAATTTAAATCCAAATCCAGCATCTCAACACTTACAAAGCAAACATTTCGAAACTGTCTGTTCATCCGAAAAAAAAAAAAAAAAAAAAACCCAGAAACCAAAACAAAACAAGAAAAATTTACATGGGTTGAAGAAGCTGGGAAAATTTTGTATCCAATCAAAGCAAGCTTTCCAGAAATTCTTTTATTTGTTTATTAATTTATTTATGCATTTATATATTGTCCGGCCATATTTTCACCACTGATGAGTGAAGGGGTTTCTCACCTTGCCATTTCTTCGAAGTAGGAGACCGCGTTCGACGAAGCGCGTCCCAACTTATATGGAGTTTTAGAGAGAGAAAGAGGAGAGAGAGAGAGAGCTCGACCCTTTCTACACTGGACTAAGTTAAAGCAGAGAGGGAGAGTATCTGTGTGAGCGGGAAAATCCAGCTTCGGACTAGACGAGCCTTTGCCTCCGGGCCTCAGGTTTGGACTCAGAATCTTTGGTCGTCGAGGAGGCGGACCCGCCGCCAGGCTTTCTCAGTGGGGCCCGGAGGTTGACGAAACCTGTGTCCGAGGCTGAGGTTCGGAGCGAACGAAGCTGTCCTGTCGAGCTTTTGTGGGGGTTCGAAAACCTAGTAAGTGCCATTATGGTAATTTACTGTCGGACTTGATGAGGTGGCTACCGTGCTCCCCAAGCTACATGTGGAAACGTTCTGTGGACTTTTGTGGATTATCGATTTTACCCCTGCAATTCCCCGCAATTGCGGCCCTTCTGCCCGTTTGACGTGACTGATTGTCTTGGGCAGCAAGTACCAGCCAGTAGCCAGCTGGGGCAGCTTGTTAAATATTAATATGTTGAATTAAATATATTTGGAGAAGAAACTTGCATCAAAATGTCGTTGTAGTATAGTGGTAAGTATTCCCGCCTGTCACGCGGGTGACCCGGGTTCGATCCCCGGCAACGGCGATTTTTTGTCCCTTTTTTTCATAGTTACTGGACTCTAGAAACCCAAAGATTTGGACCTCTTCCCAGTTACTTTTTTCTCATCTCGAAATACAATGTTCAAATTAAATTTCAGCGTACAAGAATGAAGATTCGAACTTAAGTAGAAGGTGGCGAGATTATGGCATACTCAGAAGAGATTTTATTGAATAGGAGCATAGGCTTTTGGATGAACCCTTATTTTTACAATGTCAGTACATCACAGCAACCCCAACTCCACTACTCTAAAAAATTCCTTTCGATTTGATCTCAATCAGACCAAACTAAACCTAAACACCATCTGAATTTCGACAGTAACATCAGACCGTAGGCCGCTAAATGAAAATTATCATTGTTTTCCTAAGATTACAGCTTTCAGTATCAATAACACTGTCTAAAGCAGGAGAAAAAACCTCTAGTTTTATCTTCCATGTCCGTGTTGGTTTTAGTGGTTTCACCGGAGTTGTGTGTAGCCATCAATGAACTAGTACCGGGTGACTCTGGTGGGAGTACAGCATTCTCAGATTTGAATATCCGTTGGGGGATAGCGGGTGCTGGTGCCGAAATAGTAGAGAGGTAATGCAGCAGCATCTGTATAATTTGGGTGAAGTCAGGCCGGTCATTGGGATCCTCTTTCCAACATGAAGTGACGATCAGAGCCAAATCCTCAGGTAGGCTTTCGGCACTGGGCCTAACATTCTGAAACAATTCGTAGAACCTCAGATTCCAATGCCAAACAAGCACCAAGCTATGAGTAACAGAATAAGACTATTTTGGTATTTTCTTACCTTAAAAGCGGCTGCATACGCTGCTTGTAAATTTGACATGCCTTCAAAAGGCAGCTTGTTATGGATGAGTTCCCACAATACAATTGCAAAGCTGTAAGCATCCACCTTATGATTGTAATGCTTCTTCTCTCCATGTCGTAATGTAACTGTGCTGTAAAGCTGCCACCAAATACAAACGTGGATAATTAGTTTGCTGATATAAAACACTCTCACAAGCCATACGAGAAACATAATTTCAACTTTTAAATGATCAAGTTAAGCACTGTACCTCAGGAGCCATCCACCGGTATGTCCCAGTTTCAGCCGTCATCATCTCTGTCAACGACTCTTCCCTTGCTAAGCCAAAATCCGCAAGTTTGACGGTTTTATGGTCGGCAGTCAAGATCAAATTCTCTGGGAAAAGGACAGGACAACAGTGTGAGATTGTGGAACAATCCCTGTTTTCGGAAATAAACTTTGCCCTAACAATAGTTAAATCCCTAAGCAGAAGAAATGAGAGTTAAGTGAAATAAAGCAATTCGTTTTTGTGATCCTGAAGTTAATTCTGCTACAAAAGTACGGAAGTCTTCAATCACGTTGAATACCAAATTATCAGCTACCTATGCTAATAACAATTCTTCGGATTTCCACATTCGAGGCATGCTCACAGATATACTTCACTAATTCTTCTCAAAGGTCAAGCTTTTATGTTAAACAATCAATTAAACCACATACCAGGTTTCAGGTCCCGGTGAATGATTCCATGGGAGTGTAAGCACTCCATAGCACGAGCAATATCAAGCGCAAACCCAACTGCCACACATGTGTCCAAGCACCTTGGCCGCATATTGAACAAGTATTTGCGCAAAGTCCCACCTAGAAGAAGCTCGGTCACTATGACCATTACAGGTTCTTTGCAGGCACCAATGAACTGGTAATACACAGGTAACAAAATACCCATCAGATATTGCAAGTACGCCGAGTATTAATCACAACTACTTAACGAAAATTAGACAAACAACCTTCACTAAGTTCTTGTGCTGCACTTTCGACATCATTGCCACTTCCCTCGCAAACCGACCTTCTCTCTTGGCAATCTCCTCTGGGGTTTCTCCTCTAGGAACAATTTTTACAGCAACATTTTGATTCTTATATCTAGAACAAACAAACCACAACACCAAACAGATTAAGAACACAAAACACAACAGAACATCATCGTTGTAAGTCGACACGAAAAACACATATTCGGCATCATAAACACCACAACTGCACAACACCAGACCTGGGATTGATCAGAAAACTGAAGAGTTTCGATCTTTGATTAGTTCTGCTAAACCCAATTCAACTTTGCATTTATATTTAAGAAGATCTAAGACAAAGTTATAAATTGCTAAACCTGAGAGACCAGAAATTCAGAATCTAAGACAAAACAAACAGAGAAGTTGTACTGAGGTTTGACTTACTTTCCCTCGTACACTTTGGCATGTGCGCCTTCCCCAATCCTCGGACCAACAAAAAGTTGCTTTGGATCGATCAACCACTTGCCATCCAAATCGAAATTCCCAACTGAATAAACCCCATTTCCAGATCCCATAGTTTTCTCTCTCTAAAATTCTAAAACAAAAACAACATACACGGACTGATTAACCAAAACAAGGGGCACCCTTTATTTGTAGGACTACATTTGAGGTAAAGATAGAAGCTTTGGTCAGGATAAAAATGGAATAAAGTAATAGTAATAAAGGAAGGAGATTTTGTATAATTGAAGAGGGAGAGAGATGAAGACTTTCTATTATAAAAGCACATGCTTGGTACCGTAGGTTTCAGAAAACAGACCCATCCCCAGAATTACGGTTGAGGATCCTATAAATCTAGGGTGTGCCTTTTGTTTGGGGGGCAAAGAATAAAAACCCAGAGGCTTATTGGGGGAGGGAGAGAGAGAGAGAGAGCAAAACAGTAGAAGAGCAAAGCAGATAAAGTTGAGGGAGGCAGAGGAGGATGAAACTGAGAGGACTTAGGTGGGGAGATTTGGGAGTTTGGTGGAGGCGTCGGTGGCGGCGGTGGTGGTGGGTGGGAAGTGAGTTCAGTTGCGATTAATTTATTAGGTCTTCTCCGCGTGTGGAATTTTTTGTCTTCTGGATCCAGAGATAAACTTGAGTCTCTGTCAGTGTCAGGGAATAGCGTGCTTCCCTTGTTTTAATGTTTTTCTTCCTTTCCCCTTAATTTTTAATTAAAACATAAAATAAAATAATTACTAAATAAATAGTATATAGATCCACATATAATCCAGCAATCTTTTAATTAATTTAATTAAATTATTGAGCCTGGAACATTTAAACTAAATTATTGAGCTTGGAACTTGAACTCATAAACATATTATTTTAATCAAAGGGTAATGTTAGGGAGATTAAATTTGAAAACTAAATAATGCATAATCAATAACAATGAGTATGTTTATCAACGTTTAAGTAATAAACCAATCATCAACTTTCATATTATTTAGTTTTCAACATTTAATTTACAAATTTAATCTCCATAGTATTACCCTTTAATCAAATTACCTACATGCGTGCAATAGAATGTATTTTGAACCAAGATGGAAAATACGCGACTATATTCATATCATCGATTCTAAGATTGATAAAAAAGATGTTTCGAGATCTGTACAAATACATAAATGCACTGCTCTAATTAAATTAGTTAAATACAGTTTTGAACAAAAATACATATTGCAATCAAGTGAAAGATATGTGACTTATTTATTTAATTGGCTCTATGAATGATAAAATAAACTTTGTTTATGGAAGTTTATCTTAAATACTTTATCTATGTAAGTTTATCTTGTGTACTTTGCATTTATAAGTTTATCTTATGATAATAGAGGAGGAAGAGGGTGTCAAATAATCGACAACCGGCACTTCATTTTCATGTTGAACCTCTATGATAATGAATTTTAAAAAGCTACTAGAAAACTTGACTCAAAATCGAACGCAATAACGTTTTAAGATTCATTCAACCGATTTCACTTAATGGAGACAAGACTTCATTGTTGTTTTGTTTGTGTACGTTTAGAAAATGCTTACGAAGATAAGAAAGGTAAAATGGACGGTCAGAAGAATACGATACAACTATAAAATGGGAGCTTCTGGAATGTACCGTTTTGGTATCCACTACCCAAAAACCGATCACAAAAATTGAATTATCAACGTCTTATTAGAAAGTAATAAAGTACATCAATTTGGCTTTCAGGTTGGAGGCAAATAAGCCAAATCTAATTCACCCATCACAAATATGACATAAAGAAAATGTGGATTTGTGAATTATATTTCAGGTTGGAGGCAAATGGATTGAAGTGTCAAAGATTAAGGTAAATAAATTAAATTTTACGACATGCTTATTATGTCTTTTAGTTCAAATCCGCAGCTGTTTATTGCAAATATATCGTTGTGCATATTAAATACAAAAAGACATGCTAAACTTTGAAATATCAAGCAAGTATTCTGCTATCCAAAACCAAATATTATATCAACAAAACAAAAGAAGGTATTTCAATTCCTTTGGCAATCCAGCAACCTAAAAACAAAAAAAGATCAACGAGTAAATTATATAAATACGAACTAAATTATCATTACGAAGATGTGGGTTGTTGAAGAGTTGGATCATCACTTTCCTTAACAATATCAAACAACATATTTTGGTCGTCCAGTTGATCTCCTATGATTGAAACCAAGCTCTCTGTGTAAGCTCGCAACGATCCGCAAACTCGGAATTTCTGGGAGATCTTCTGAGTGTTTGGGTTGTATGAGATCACTTCTTGTTCGTCATATTCGAAAAGAAACTCTCCATTGTGCCAAAATCCCAACAGCTTCAGTGACCTTGCAATGCCTTCAATTTGCCCTATCGTAACTAGTTTGGTCCAAGATTCATCGTCACCGTAGTCGTGCATGATCCATACTTCACAAGTCTTGTCAGGGATATAAGACTTCGGACGAACAACCACGGAAAGTGAATCAGTGTACAACGCATTAATATTGACATCCATGTCACCATAGGAGGAAGACTCCAGTAACTTCGGAAGCGAAATCCATCGGAACACTTCATCAGCCATGTCAAAATAACGAATTATATAACGAATAACATTGTTGGCCAACCAATGAGCGGTATCACTGACCAACCAGTGAGAATTCCCGTTGACATAGGTGCCACTGTCACTCGTCAAAAGGTAAGGCCAATAGCTAATTTTAAAAAACGGAGAAGGCCAATGGGTAACTTCAGCATACGGAAAAGTACGATCTATTTCTCTCCATGAATTAGAACGCAAGCTATATACAACCTCCTTACAATCGAATTCGATGCCCTTTCTATCTGTGCAACTGAGAATTAATACCAACTTGTAATCATTGGTTTTACGATCAAATCCAAATCCATATAGTTTGACGCTTTGACGTTCGCTGTGAGGATGTGCGATGCTCAAGTCTGGAACAACCTTGAATTCTCTGAGTGAAACATTTGCCAGTGCAATAAGATCCAGTTCGAATTCGACATTAAGCCTTATGAAGCAGTAGATTCCATTGCAAGGACCCAAAATTTCAGAAAAGACCGAGGGTAAGTTTAGCCGATGCCGAGAAAGAAGCGATATTTCGTCCAAACAAAGCAAGGAGACATGACCATAACGTATACCTTTCTGAAGGAGAAAATGCTGATTCACGTTTTTGGAATGATGGAGGTGTTGGATGGTGAAACTCGGGTCTTTGATGAGATCATACCAGTATCTGCATACACATTCGAACCGCTTCAGAGATTTCACAGGCAGCCTGAAAAGAATGTTTGCCAACACGCCGGAGGGAATGCATTTGTATTTTGCGGTCTTCATTCGGCAGACCGAGCAGCAAATTTAGGAGGAGCAGGAGGAGGGAGGGTATCCTAGTCCTAGTTGCAGTGTAGAAAAAGAATATCGGCAACTTATGTGTTTCATTGATAAAATGTGAATAAATACAACTATTCTACAATAAGGAATCCTATAATCTAGAGATATAACAGAATCACGTATCTATACAGTATCAATTACATGAAAGACACCCTATTTAATACGCACTTTCTTGTAAACATGTGAGTGTCAATGAATATGATTTACTGATATGTTGGTAATCAATTAACTTGGCCAATGAGTTAATTGGTGTTGGGGAAGTTATGGAATCTTGTTTTAATTAAGATTTGGAGTCCTTGTTCTATGCAACTAATTAAGATTTGGAGTCCCATTATTACTGGAACACTTCTGCTTGTTGGAAGTAGAAGACTCTTAGAAACTCTAGCAACCATGGCTTCTTCTTCCTCCTCTTGGGCAGATAAGTTTATTTCTTTTCATGTCAATGTAGTTTAGTGTATTCGTGATTGTCTTCTTGTTCTTTTGATTTCAGAGTATGTCTTACATTTCAAACACTTTCTGTTAAATTGGAGAGCGAATATACTTATCCAAACGCTCTTAAACTAAAATATTATTGCTCATGAAAATTTTGGTGCAAATACTAAACATCTTTTGAGGATCGAGAATGATAAAGAAAACAACGGAAAAGAAAACGGATTGGGCTAAAAACTAACGGAAAAGAAAATGTTGATTTCATGAACAACGTTGTGTTTGAATTGACAGAAGAGAAGGCCGAAGGGGTTGTGTAACGTCACACAACTAACGGAAAAGAAAACGGACTAGGCTACAAACTTCGGTCATCCTGTTGGTCCTCCACGCGTATGACTGAAAACAGGCTCTCTCAACTGTGTAAATAGAGGCTTTAAATTGCATAAACCGTCCACCAACACGATGGTTCAAAATCTTCAGAGAGAGGTAATATCACTACAACAACGGCGCATAACGTGGTAAATACATTGTATATCCTACAAATCATCGATGGATACAGCGGGAAAACAATTTCAGTAGCAATCCACAAAATTAACCGCACGAAAACATATATGAGTTCGTTTGAGATACAGATGAAACCAATACAAAATTTATGACCGAAAGAAAAAACAAGTAGAACTGTATTTCTTTTGGTACAAAAATAGAAATATACTGATCGGCAGTACTTCGAAACTAAAGCGGCTGAAAGAATTGTCATTTCTAACGTACAGGCAACCGGTGCACAACTTCATCTTTGACCGAAAAAAGTGAGTAATGAAGACGATGAACTTGTCACAAACACCAGTGGCTTCCCTCTCAGCGGCGCTTATACAAACAAGGTTTCAGCTCAGGCCATTCAATATCCTTTTTCTTTGAATCTTGCTCCTCCTAGAGAATAGCAGATGTAGAGATTGTTAATAACAGTGGAACCTTACGAGATCCAGAAACATGTAACTGATGCGTAAATCATATGACTGAGTTTATTCCACCAATGTCTAACCTTTTTCTTGAAGTAAAACAATATAAACATCTTCTTTGAGAAATCCTGCAAGCAATGCACGTACAATACAATTAGCACAAAAAAAATTATCTTGAGCCGTCCGAGGAAATGAGAGGAACATATAGATACCTTCGACACAGAGGTAAATCCTAGATCACATACGGCTTTTGTAAATGTCTTTGGATCGGCTCCTCCAGTAGTTGAGTCAAATCTGCTCTTCACTTCTGCTATCAAAAGCCAACCACTATGAAAAACCAACCCGTCAGTTGGACAAGAACTCAGTAGGATAAGTGAATCAAGAGTACAAAAGAATATGGCACACAGACCCTGGCTTAAGTATTCTGTGTGCTTCATTCAGGTAAGTTGGGAAATTTGTCCCCATCAACGAAAGGCAGAAGACAGCAACATCTACAGATGTAGAGCCGAGGGGTGTCTGCAAACATGTGGAAGGAATGAATTCTTAATAGAATACGCAAGAAAAAACAGGAGATAAATTTTAACAGCACATACATGACAGTAACAATTTTGCTTAAATATTAACATACGCAGCTTGGTTGCTTCAAGTATATAAATACTAACCTCTGCAAATTAGCAAGGAGCCAAAAAATTTTCTATAAATCTATGCATAAGTATAAGAAATTTTATGCTTCAACCTAAAATCCAAATGAAAGCACATACATTTGCCATATCACAGGATATTACTGAAGGATCGTTGGATATGAGATCAAAGGAGAAGACTTTATTCTTCACATTTTTTGCTAGGCGTGCATCCCCTGTAAAACAACAGAACAAAATTACTAAATGCAGCCACCAAATGAATGTCGACATGTGAGAGTAAACAAACAATCAGCAAACTATGAAAAATGGAGTTAGCTAAACTCTAACCACATCCAAAATCAGCCACGACCAGAGAAGGGCTATGCTCTTTAAGCCATTTGATGATTATATCAACTGGCAGCTCAGGCCAATGTGACATTTGCTCTTGATATCCTGTGTGGTACTGGCCAAGCAAGTAAATAAAGCATGTCAACTCTCAAAGTAAAACTCCACCATCTCATATGAGAGAATGCACAGCAAATATGGTGGTCGAAACGAGTTCCCTACAAAGAAGAAATCTTACTGTATCAAACAATGTCGGGTCGTCATTGAAATACTCAAGCGCCTCCTTTCCACTAAAAATAGGGGAATCAAATTAAGTGAATCCGCAAAGGCGAAATTTCTTTTCACATAGGAAATTAAGCCAAACATTCACTGATCGAAGCAAAGTAACAAACATTAAAACTTATACATATATACACATTTGAGGCGAAATTTCATTATTACACAACTCGAAAGCAATCAAAAACTTTTAATCCCAACTTATGTTTCACAATTCAACATAAAAACACGGGTGCTCATTTGGAAGAATAACTGAAAGCGCTTTTGGTGAAAATGTTTTTGAAACCAATCCTAGATAAAAATGCAAGTGAAAAGCACCAAAGTGCTTTAAAAAAATTTGGCCTTGAATTCCAATTAACTAACGTAAAAAATTAGAACGAACAATAAGAAATGGGCAGTAAAAATTACGTGCAAGTGTAGAGCTTCTCGTTAATCATCCGAAAATGGCCTCCCGATAGCTTTGCTTTCATCTGTAATCAAAACCCACAACTCCACTCAACAATTTCCGTCAATTAATTTCACATAAAGTTAAATTCTTTCGATAAAAACACGCACCTTATCGAGAAAGCTTGACGAATTCGAGAGCTTTCCCTGCGATTTTAAGCGCTTAGCAGACGCAGAAGCAGAAGCTTTTGGCTTCTCTGCTGCTTCTTCATTGATTCTTTCAGCTTTTGGGGAAGTGCTTTCTCTTTCGGTGGAAAGCTTGAGCTTTTGGGTGTGAGATTTATTGCGACGCCCCTGCTCTCTTCCGCTTTTTGCTCGATTCGTTATCGGCCATTGCTTTTCGTTGCGCCTCTAAAACCCTTCTTCTTCTTCGTCGTCTGCAAAAACCCTTGCTCTGCAAATTTGTGGTTTCGCGCTTTCTTCTGGGCTCATAAGGGAGAATTTATTGTCGCAGGCCTGTGTTCGATGGGCTTTACTTGGGCCCGTCGCTGGCACGGCCTGATAAAAATTGGGAACTATTACCCACGATTTTTAGTCGATTTTACGAAGTTTAACGAAATAATCAAAAGGGAAGTGAAAAAAATACAAACCCTTTTAACCATTTCGTTCTCCAATCTGCAGGGATTTATGCAGACAACGAGAAGCTGAGAGACCTTCTCAAGTAAAAAATTGGGAAAGCGCCTGCAAAACCCACGAAGGAAATGTATCAGCTGGTGATTGACAGTGACGCCGGAATGCTGGTGAGGTTGGTGATCGTGTTTTCAAACCTCACCATGAACATGGTGAGAAAGAATTTCGACGAAGGCCTTGGAGCTTCGATCAAGAAACTAACTGGTGGCAAGATGAACGAGGAGCTTCGATCAAGAGCCTATGTCCACATGTATCTGGTAGACGATCCCTTCGACAAGGATGCGAAGGAGAAGTTTGGAACATTCGCTCTTCTAAGCACGAAAAAACATCTAAAAGTCAACCGCCTAGGGGCGGAGCAATTACTCAATAAGGAAAGAATTGAGATTGTGTTCTTGTTTTTTGTTTACCGACTTGGTTATGCACTTAATAACATAATTAGAGCTTAATGATTCAAAATTGTTCCTTTCGACGTCTGCTATTACGGTTTCTGGTGAAGCAGAAGGGGATTAATGAAATGAAACCTAAGGCATCATGTAACTCATTCACTAAACAACATTCAAATACAGAACATGTATTCTTAACCCTTATACAGCGGCCTTTCTGTTGCCGATCTGCGACAGTGCAATCCTGCAAATGTTATTCTCACATTTTACACGCAGCTAACGTTGTTTCGCTTCAAGAAAATCCTACTTACCACAACAAGGATAATACATGAACAACGAGAGGATGTCTCAGGTGCATCAAGTAAGGGGACTTAAATTACAACAAGACCTCCGTTTACGCCACTGGTTTGGTCAGTAAAGGCCATGAAGAACCATGCGAGGATCCAACTGCCCACTGCAATAGCTTGATGAAACGGTAGAGAGTTCTTGACGGCCCTTCCACTCTTCGGAAGGCTTCAAGAAAATTGGGGTTTCAATGGCCGCTGAATCTACACATAACATGGTTTTGTAGTCCTCATCTCCCAAATCAGGGATGGTCTTGGCCTTTTTATCCCAAGGGTTCCACACAACTGCAGATCACACGATTTTCTAGCATAAAGTGAGAAACTTCGTATAACTAGGATCATATCAACAAAAGGGAAAAAAATAATTTACAAATTTAATCCAAGATAATAAGAACCTGCATCCCGCATGCCATCCTTCCGCAGAACAAAGGTTCTCTTCCTCTCGTGGTCTATCATGGCTATCTTTGTAGGCGTGCCCAAATACACTCGGTTGACCTAACGAGAACAAGAATTTGAGAAAACAGAAACAACTTAATGAGTTACCCCCAGTTCATACAAAAGGCGGCTTTTAAAACGAGAGAAATCGCAGGTAGTTGTACCTCCTCATCAAAGGTAATAGCATCTGCCTGCTCTGTGAACCTTTCTCTGCGCATCAGATTGTCGAGATAATCAAGCGTCTCCAAGCCCTCCACACGCACTTCACTGCAAATTAAACAGCATCATGCAAAGTCTCTGAAAAGGATGAAATACACTTTCTTCCCGCCTCAGCGGCTAATAAAATACTCGACATAGAATTTTCTTTTAACGGGAAATGAAATTCATACACCCTTTTTCTCCATCCGCACACCCCTGATAATTTATGTCCGTTGATTCTCCTTTGGTTTTTCAATCCAAAGGCTAGAAAAAGAGCGGGTGTGTAGGGGGAGAATGTGACAATCATTTCCCTTTCCAATAACATCAACAATAAATTTGAGAACTTGCGAACGTCATACAGGTAACGATCTTAAACGTCACAAAAATAGTTACAAGGCGGACCTGATATCTGATACATATAAGTAGTTAATCAGGGCAAATGTAAAGGAGAAGGCCTTGCTATCCGTATTCCTAACACGGGGAATCAAAGTGAGCTTGCCAGCATTGAGAGAAACACGAAGCCGGAGCTCAAAGCTTAAACCAATCACAGAACAAGATTCACAGGATTAGACAAGTGGTGATGCCCTTCAGCAGTAATCACATCCATTGAAATGATTAGATTCCGAGAGCATACCTACGCGGCCATGTCTTTAGATCCTCTTCTGTCGACTTCAAGATCAAATCCACTGACGTCTGATTGTTAGTTGGAGCCAAAGGCGAAGGGTTACTATCAACAGACCACAATCTGTTCTTTGCAAACCCATGCTGCTCCAGCGAACCAAGATTTCCGAACTGCAACAAGCAGGATGAAGAATGCTCAATCAGAATTCAGAACAAGAACATAAAGATTTTTAACATGCTTGTCAATTGTAATAATATCTCACTCTCCAACCTGAGGAAAGCAGACGGGTATGCCTCCCCTGATCGCTTTAGGTGGTTTCCAAGTAGCCTACACAAGAGTAGAAAACAGCCCCATAATTAATCAAGTACAAAGGGAATTAAAACAATCTCAAATTCTAAATCAAGCATACGCTGGAAGAATGTTTAATCTTCATACTTTGCTACTCATAAAGAGCAATTCTTCACGTCTTTCGTTCTTCCACGAAACAACCTGCCCTCCATATAGAAGCACCTGAAACAATTTGCACCATATCAAACAGCTGGTGACCACAACTTGCACATTAATTTACCCATCATCATATGAATCATGGATCACTGATCGAGTTGTCAACTTTTTTTCAGTTCGAGAGATATGAACCTAAACAATCTAATCTAAAACTAGTACTGGGGAAGAAAGGAATTCGAACTCGGGTGCATAGAGTGTATAACTACTTTATCCAACTTGGCTACGCCAAGGTCTACGATCATGTTGTTAACTCTGGGCCATCATATCAATATTAGCAAAAAGGAGAGAACATGATTAATTGAAATTTGAAACCAACCTCTGCTGAAGAACCAGTTGGCTCGGTGAGTATGATTCGGGGAAATCCATCACCCTTATTCACTATATTCAACGACATCGTTCTGAGCCTGGATCTCCCACTTGTTTCTGTTCACAATTGGCTTCACTCCAGCTCCAATCTGCATTGCATTCAACCCCAAATAGATACATAACCCAAAAACAAAAAGTTACATTCTTTTTCTACAAAGCGATATTCTAAATTACTTTAATCTCTAGAGACGGGATAGAACTAGCGTGCAACATGACATGCTGACGCAACCAACTTGCCTAACCTACATCTCTTAAAAAAGATTACATCTTTGACAATATATAACAACATCAGAAAAATGAATCTTTCAAAAAAAAAATGATGAACAAGAACGAAGAAGCAAAATTTGTAAAAAGACACGAGATGGGTAAGCTTACGTTGATTTGATCATGAAATGTTATCGGTTTCTACTTGGAGCTCGAAGCAGAAGAACTGAGACATCCCAACTTTCTCTGGGTTTGTGAAAAATCTATGTTGCAAACTTGCAATGCAGTGTTTTATATCCGAGAGAGAGAGAGAGAGAGAGAGAGAGAGAAGGATATCCAAGGAAAACCATTTGTCATCGGATTCTCTGCCTCTTCCCTCTGTCTCTTTCAGTTATTTAGCTGCACTCGTGTGTTTTGCACCTCAGCTTATCCACGTAGACCTTCGTTGCCCTATAGCTATAGGTGGAGAAATTTTTAGGTGTGCCGGGAACACCATGCCACGTGGTGTTCCCTCACACATAAAAATTTAGTTTTATTTATTTATTGAAATAAAAAATTGAAGTATATTCAAAATGTTAAATTTTTATGTGTGAAGGAACACCACGTGGCATGGTATTCCCGGCACACCTAAAAATTTCTCCTATAGGTGCATCGTCAAACAACGTAAGATCGAATGTCAAAAAGACACGATTCAAATAAGTTAATTAATGAATTGATTTTCGGGTGTATAAATTATTCGAACTTGATTGTGACCGTTTACAGATGTTCTTCAACAATTAAAAGCAGTTAGATTTTAGAAAAACAAAGTATTCGCCTGCACAGATTCTCAAAAAAAAAAAAAATAATAATAATAATAAACATAATTGTCTCTGATATTGGCATTTTTTTTTAACCATGCGGATTGGAAATCGATAGAAGTGGTCATTGAGTTTATCTATTATAAAATCATTTTGGTCTATCTGTGAAAAATCTATCAACATCGTCATTAAATTGTCAGGTGAGCAACCATGTTACCACTTTTTAAGGTTATTTTTGTCAAACCAACCTCTTTTAGCCAAAATAGTCCATGAGATTGACATAACTTCTTATGTTGGTCTCTGATAATGAAAATCAATAGAAGTGGTCGTTGAGTTTGTCAATTGTAAATTATTTTGGTCATTTTGTGAAAAATTTGTTAATTTCCTCGTTGAGCAACCGCTTGACAGCCTTTTAAGGGTATTATGTAAAACCAACCCCTCCACTTAACAAGGATATTGACATATTTTCTTAATAAAACATTTTAGTTTTGTTTCTTTTGTGAACAATATATCAATATCCACGTTAAGTGGAGGATTTGTTTTGACAAAATATCCTTAAAAGGGTAGTCACAAGGTCGCTCACGTGAATATTTAACGAGGATATCAATAAAATTTTCAGGAAATGACCAAAATGATATACAATGGACAAACTCAAGGATCACGTCGATTTTCATTTTCAAAAACCAAAATGAGTAGTAATATTAATCTCACAGACCATTTTAACTAAAAAGTCTTCTCATAAGATAATTTTTTTGATTGAAAAAGGGGCAGAAACCTCAAAGAGAAACTTGCTCAGAAAATACTGGACCAACAATAAAATTCTTTTTCAAGATAAATATGTTTTGAATTTT